GACAGCAACAAGCCAAAACCTCAGTGAGACAAAGAAATGCAGAGAGTGGAGAGGTTTATTTTCCATGTGAGTGTACAGCTAAGAAATGGAGAACGAAAAACATCTGCAAACAAAAGCAGAAATGAACATTTAGGCTTGGATGTCACTGTTAACCTTGCCACATTCACTTTCTAAAATGTGGGCTTTAACTGTATGTGAGTAACAACAGAGACATTAAATATTTGGACTTTCAGGCCTCCAGGAGGACAGAGTTTCCCAAAGACAGGCCATTCATCTACATTCACCAGTGTTTAATGCCCCAGTCTTGTGCACATATCGCCATGAAAGGGCATTTTAGCCCAGGCAGAACGAACATGTATGTTATTAAGCATCTGTCATCAGTGAGTGCTAGCTAAACACTGGCTCTGCTCCAGAGCACAACTTCAGCCATAGCCTGGCAAAATGCATGTGTGCATGAAGGATGCTGTTAGTGAAAAACCTCTTTTGTAACCTAGTGTTCGTTAAAACATACAAAACAAGCATGCTTGCTATTTGTCAGGTAACACCAGAAGAGTGCAGAGGGCTACGTGTAGCTCACAAAGTTCATTGCTTTTTCTTCAGTTCACCTTTATTCTTTTCATTCTGATGTGACTGGTTTAGTTTTATCTAAAATCTATCGAGACATTCAGTACTTTATAGTGAAGGGACATGTATTTGACCTGACTTGACTTTCCATGAGCAGGTTGTGAGAGTGGTTGTCATGGGAAAAATCAAATGTGATTGCTGCAGGAGAAACTCTAGCTAAAAGTGTGTGATTGTTAGCATTTAAGTTGTTCTGTTGTTACATGAATTTATTTGACTTACCTGAAGATGTCCTGTCGCTCTCACTTCATGCTTATTGGGCCAGTTCAGTCCTCTAAAATGTTTTGGAAGTGCCACTGTGCTTAGATGCACCATAACCAGTTCACTGTCAGCTTCTGCAGCAATCAGTTTTCCTAAAAGTTATACACACAAGAAACCTGATTTCACTCAGCCAATTCATGTCAAATATGAAAATAGATTATGTACAGAATCAATGTGTGGTGTCAAGGCTCTGAGCTTGTCACCCCCACAAGGAAAGCACAGCATGTGTGGAGTGTGGACAATAATAAGTTCCTCCTGGGCAAATAAAGACCTAGAACCTACAGGTGGATGCTGGAGTGGAGGTGGGGTTTTTGAAATGTTATATGAGCAGGTGTACAGCTAAAGGGTGAGCAGCGCATTAATGGATTGTGCATGTATGTGACTTAAGAATGAGAAACTCTTGTGTAGTGGCAACAGTGCGGTGGGACCATCCGACGTCTGTGTAACAGATTTCTCCTGAATATCCTGAAATCTAACAGGAAAAAATAAACAAATAAAATAAAGCAGCACAGGTCTCTGAGGTGACATATTCATATAAAAACATACATCATATGGCTGACAAAGATACACATTCAAGCTGCGTGACTTAAGTGTCCACATTTTCATTTGCTACATAGTGGAGTAACCAAAGAAGCTCGGCTGATGTGTGGGTGGTCAGCAAGTTATTTGGCTGAAAATGTTGGCCATGGCTGAACGTGGTCATTGGCTGTCAACAGCCAGTTAGATATGTGTGCCCGTTTAGCTTTTTGTTATTGTCTTGATTTAGCTTCATGAGTAATATCACCAGATGGCAAATACAGAGGAGCTGAGAAGTATCTTCATCAGAAGAAAAGTCGTTATATAATGTGCATCTCAAACAGTTTACAGGGCATCCATTGCTGTTATTGTATTGATTTCAAGTCAGAGTCTGTGTTTATTTGTCATATGCACAGTTAGGAAACGTGTTTTCCTGTACAATGAAATTCTTACTTTGCTATCTACATGAATGCCACACAATACAAGTGAAATGTAAAGTAGATGAGCAATAACACAAATCTAAATAAGCAGTAACACAAATCTAAGGCACTTTAAAGCAGCAAGTGAAAGAAGCATAATTAAAATAAAACAAGAACACAATATAATGCAGAGAGGATTTATGCTATGTGGGAACTGTGAAGTGCAAATATTCAGCAGTGAGTGTACAAGTATACATGTGCACAATGAGTATGTAAATGGTACAGATGGAATTACATGAGGTAGATCCTGAATCAGCGGTTTAGGAGTCTGATGGCAGAGGGAAAGAAAGAGTTTTTCAGTCTAGAGGTCTAGATTTGTTTGAGTTTTTTTTTTTTTTCTTTTTTTTAAAGGAGCACTCCACGATCAGGATAACTGTATTCTTCGTGCAGGGTCCAGCTTTATAGGAGCTTTGTGAAGTCTGAAAAAATAATCCTGAAGATGTCATCAGGGATTTAGCTGGGTTTGGTTGTGGAGAAAAAAATTTAGTTTTTAAAATAGCCCACCTTGCAATTTGGCGATGCGGAGTCTGAAAGACATAAGATTTTACAAAGCAGGGAGGGTGTAATGAAAATATGCCGTTGGTTGCTTTATGACAAAATGGGGGATCATACTTTATGGTATGGAATGGACCTCACAGACATGAAGTGCAATGTTGGAGTACTCACTTAAAATCCATCCTGTGTCTCTCTTGTCCTTCATAGCTATATTTAAACTTAATAATATTGTAACGGTAACTAGAGAAACAGCCTGAGTCAATCTTTTTATGCAAGCTCTCTGTGCCCCAAAACACTGCACTAAATATCTGCTTCTTATTAAGAACACATACAAATATTTGCCTACATGTTGTGGCCATGTACTGCCACCAGAACCTTTTGTTATGGTGCCTCTGCCCCAGCTAACTGGTCCCACCCCATAACCTAACATGAAGAGAACTCATTCTCTGCCCCAGCATGTATGCTGTGAGACCCCACCAAGCACTGCTCCACCCTGACGCTATAATAGGAAGTATACTGTATGCATCAAAAACTAACATTAACGCTTAGATAGCACCTTGATTTTCTTACCAAAACAAAGCAGATGAAATTCAAAGAATACTATGCCCATCTGTGGTTGAATTGAATGCAGTTCTGTTTCAGGTTAGGTGTGGGTTTAACTCCTGTTGTCACTGCTGGGTTAAACTTTGATAGTTCAATTGGCAGGAAATAACTTGGACTCCAGAATGTGTTGACAGAATTTAAAAAGCATTGATTGATTGATATAAAAAAAAAAGATGCACAAACCTTCATGTCACCCATTACTTTTTGAGCAGCGGTTTTGAAGCTCAAGTTTGGCCATCACCATCTTGGTAGTGCTCCACGCTGTGTGCTGCAGTACAGATAATCAA